CCCCCCTTCCACTTTCTCTGAAAAGCAATGGAAAAAATATCCTTGGGTGAGGATTAAAAAAAAAAAAAGTTTTTAAATCTTCTGCATGGAAAGAAACACCAGAAAACAAGGTCAAAAGATAATTCACAGACTGGGAGAAAATACATCATTGATAAAGTTAATATCCTTAACTTATTATAAAGTACTCTTAAACAATGAAGGGGAAAAATTAAAAACCCAATAAAAAAACTGACCAAAGACAGGAGCAGATATTTGCAAAGGATATAAAAATGCCCTTACATACATGAAAACATTTTCAGTTTTACTAATGATAAAGAACTCAGGAGCCTGTGCTGATATAAACAAAAAGGGAAAACTTCCCTTACAGTAGAAAGCACCGATGAATAGAGCACTGATAAAATTAGGAAATCACAATTTTAACAACTATTATAATAACAACTGATTCAGGCAAATACTAAACACTAAAGCTAGTGGGTAAAAATTTGAGAAGTTACAGGATACCTGTTTAATCTCAGAGTATCTAATAATAATATTAATTAAAAAGGTAAAAACAGTAACTTTACAGAGGACAAACCTGGCAGACGACTCCTTAACCAAATGATCAATATTAACATTGTTAATAATTGTGCTAATTACAGCATATGCTTACTGATTTGATACATTAAGAACCACTCAGTATCTATTCAGTGGTATTCCTGCCAAAAGTACATAACCTGAATCTGATCATGAGTAAACATCAAACAAACTCAAATGGCAGGGCATTCTACAAAAAATTGTACTCTAAATGTTGTGAGAGACAAGAAAAGATAAGTATTTCCAGATTAAAGGACACTAAAGAAATATGACTACTGAATGTAACAGGATTTTCTTTCATTATTATATAGCTGTTGATGTGAACAAGACTGACTCCATCTTTGTGGCCTTGATTCCTTGTTCAAGTTTTTCATGCTGTGAACACTGACTAACCTCACTAATGTCAGCCAGCATACCAAAGCCTTAATGTTAATGATTATCTGTGTTCTTTAGAACTTTACGATATAACCACAGAAATCCTAGTCACTGATGGACTAGAATGGCATGGCAACTAAGTTTAATATCAAACTAGGTGCTGGCATCAATTGTAAGCAACCATCCAACATAAGACCACCAGGAAGTATGGTTTCTGGCACATACTGCATTAGCTGTCCCTTTGTCTTGTTAATCATTAGTACTTCAGTGATACCATTTAAAACATTTACTGTAACAACTGTCTGGTAGGGGAGACTAGCTGTGCAGACTGTACAGTTGCCGTCTACTTCAATTCTATTGTAGGGTAAGTAACTTGCCCTACAATAAATTCTGTTATATTCTATGGAATTGCCTGCCTCATTTTTCAGTCTCAAGATACCTTCTTCTTTTGGTGACCACTATAGCTTCATTCCACCATCAGACATTATTGGGGGAAAAGAAACACAAAAAAATGATAGGTTTGTAAATTAGGTAACAGTATTGCTTCAATGTTAACTTCCTAATTTTGAGAATTGTACTGTGGTTACAAAAAAAAATCCTTGTTTTTAGGAAATTTACATTGAGGTATTAAGGATAAAGGAATACCATGTCTGTAACCTATCTTAAAAGGTTCAGAAAACAATAAAGAAGAAAGAAATGATAAAACAAATGTAGTAAAATGTTAACATTTCAAGAATCTAGGTGAGGTATGCATTACTCATGCAAATTTTCCTGTAAGTATAAAACTGTGAAGAAGAAAAAACTTTTTAAACAGTTATACACTAAATAACACAGGCTGAATTTAAACACTGTACAGCTTGTTCAGTGTAGGGCAATTTACAGCCACTAATGTTTTTCTTCCCAGTGATCTGTAGTTATAGCTTTGATATTGCTGCCTTCTCACTAGAGAAAGAAAATATCTTCTACTATTACAGATGAGGTAACACTTATGAGACAGTGATACAGCAATTCATAGCACTCAGAAATTAAATGTTTCTAGTTTCAACTTTAATAACAGAAGCTCTCTTATTTGACATGACTAAAATCCAGTACTTGGTCACTAAATCTACCAACCTGATGGTATTTTTTTAATAACTTGCTTTTATTAAATCTTTCCAAAGCACCCAATTTACTTTTTTAAAAAACAAATCATATTTTGTAAGTTTAGAAAACATCTCACTGAATTCCATAATGACAGTAACGGTACAAACGGCAAAAAAGCTTTGGAAACACAAACTCTAAGCAAAAAATTCAACTCGTAGGAGCAGAAGTACACTGAACTATTAGAGAACAGCCTACCAGCCATAAGAATCTAGCAGGCAGTCAATATATTTTTAGAGGACACAAAGAGTGTCAATTAGTTGGGAGAATTGATGAAAAGACTTTCCTAATGCATTTACAAGGTACCTCAAGTTCTAAGATACAGTAATTTGGAATGTGTTTCACACAGCAATTCATATGAAGTGGTTATTAAAACTTTGTTTCTTTGTGAAAAAAAATGGCCTTGTGGAAGATACTGATGATAAAAGTCACTTAAGAGCTTTACAAATTACTCTAATCTTAAATAACAGAATCGTAAGGGAAAGCATTTAAATTTTCTCAGTGTAAATTAATTGCATTTTATGGACAAAAGTGTATGTCATTATGATATCTGCCAATCTAGCCATATGCAAAAAAAACCCAGTACCAAAGTTTTAATTGGTACAGTATCTGAAATCTAGTCACACTTTCATTTATCTGAACAATATTCAATAACCAAGAAATAAGTGAAAGACTCCATCTGTCTTAGTTTGTATTTTTCAAACACCCAGGAAAGTACAATTCCATAATACTTTAAGATAACAGTTACATAAATTTCTAACTGAAATCTATTTTTAGCAGTTTTAAGCACATATACTTTCAATAATAACAAATAATAATGATATTTATTGAGTTAAAAACTGTCAAAATGACTTCTAAAAAACTCACAAATATTAACTCAGTTAAGCCTCCTAATAACTCCATGAAGTTGTAATTATTATCCCATTTTAAGGTGAGGATACTAAGGCACAAAAAGGTTAAAGTAACTTGGTCAGCAAGTAAATGACAGAGCCAAGATTCGAGTCCCAAGAAACCTCTCTGAGGGGCGGGAATAAAAAAGCCTTTTTGAGATCACTGCTTGTCAAGTGGCATAAATTATGTGGTCTTTGGCCTCATGCCATAGCAAGCTTTGGATGGATGATTGGATGGATGGATGGATGGATGGATGGATGGATGGATGGATGGATGGATGGATGAATGATTTGTAATCTGGTTTATGCTATCATGTAAAATTAGGCTCCTCTACTAATTTGCTATTACATATGAATATTACATATTACATATAACAACAAACAGAACACTAAGATAAAGGAATCAGAAAAGGATAGGGCTAAGTCAGCATTTCCCTAATTTTTTAAAAGTACTAATTAATTCAAATAAATTTAATTAAGCAATTAAAGACTACTCTAAAATAAAGGCTTTGTCATCTAGCTGAAGAATGCAGCAAAAGTGCACAACTAACAAAAACAAGTCAAGCTAGCAAAACGTTACAAAGCTCAGGGGGAAAATAACACATGTTTAATGGGAACAAAGACTTCTTGAGAAAACCATTGCTAAAGGAAAAAATATACAAAACCTAACTGCCAAAAAGCATTGTAAAACACTCTCCCCAAATAAAACTAGAAATGTTTATGCTCTGCTTAAATAACACATACAACCAAATCTATATCTGCCAATTTTTTCAAGTATCCCTGGCCAGTTCTGTGCTTAGGAATACTCTGTTCTCTGATGCAAAGAGGACCACAACTCTTTAGGAAAGAACTGTTTTCAGTGAAAAATTGGAACATGTAACAGCAAATCAGTGTTTGTTCTTTACTAAGTACTAATGGAAAATTAAATGGTTTAATAAAGAAGATGTGCTTTTGGAGATGGAAAATTCCAGCAAAAAAAAAAATCTGTTTTCAAAATGTATCAAACTTTCCCTTTTCATAATCAGTAAGGATTATCATTAAATAGAAGATTATTCTCCTGGTCTTTAAAAAACAACACTTGACTACTGAGTATCTGGAGAGCAATAAGTTACAGTTTAATCTATATAAATGCACACACCACCCCCAGGACAACTACATATATTATAATGTCAAAGGTGACCCTTGAAGTTGTGAGATGTAACAGTCCTGAGTGCCTAAACAGAAGTTCTTTTAAAATTATAATTGTTTTAAATTCTGCTACAGGATCAAGAATAAAGTATATTACCTGTATATCAGGATGGTCAGAGATGAGAGCCCCTTCCTTGTTATAGGTATAAACTACAAAGTCTTTGGGCAAAAGGTCTCTGGAAGAGGAATAAAACACGCCATTTAAAATTATTTTATCTACATACAACTAAGAACACAACTCATAAGGCATTATTCCTAGAAGAGATGAGCAGGAATAAAAACTTTCACTGGATATATTATTATTTAAAGAAGGAGCTACCATAAAACTAAAAGCTCACAAATGGGCTTGCACCTGAAACCATGTGAATCACTTTCTCATACAGAATGTTAAGTTGCATATTTGTTCTAATAGTCTTAAAATGCCGGTTACAAAAAATTAATAACACAAATGATGTCCTTAATTTTTTCTGATATGTCTCACAGGAAAAGCATAAATTAGGTTATATAGTACATCATATTTCTAGAAGGAAAATAAGTGCTTTTACTCGGTTCTGAAAGTCCTATATAAACAAGAAGCACTCACTGCCTTCACCTCCTAAGTACAGGGAAAAAAATGTGGCAGTTGTTGCAGGAAACAAGTATTGCTGATTCCTGAAGCTGCCCTGCATGTTAAGGGAGCTCAGTAGCATAAATCATATGTGTAAAGATAGGGTTCTCTTTGTTAAAGAAAAAATATTCAGAGACACTTGCTGAAGATGATAAGGCAGACTTGTATTCAGGATCACCGTGATAGGTATAGGGACCACTGCAATGGGACGTTAGTCAGGGGAGAGAGATCAGACTCTAACGCACATGGAGCATGGGCTCATGGGAATTTATGGCTAAGGAGCTGGGTGAGGGTCAGCAGAAAGAAAATTACTAAGAGGAAACATCAAGGGGTGAGGGAGGCTCTAGCTAAACTGGCCTAACAGATTCTTACTGAAGACTGACCAGGGTGATCAGATACCACCTGAGGATAAGGAACAGGTTCAGACATCCAGTGTGATCAGATAGCAAGTAGGGAGGGGGATGAAGGGAGTTTTGCTAAACTGACTTAGGGTTCTTGCTAAAACTGGAGTTCACAAGAAAGTGCACCAGTGGGCCTAGGAGAAGGTTCAGAAGCCTGACTAGAGTTTAGTCAAGCAAACACTGTCATTTGCAGCAGAACTGGAGCAGCTCCATTATCAGCGCCTGCTTATCTCCAGGGCTTTGGGACAAGTCTGGAATGCAATGTGCTAGCTAGTGACTTACAATGCACCATTTATGGTTCTAAACCTTCTAAGTTCCCCTCCTGGCATCCAGGACCAGCTTATCTAAGTTGTTTGGAGATGGACAGATTGATGGTTTAGGTGGAGTTTAACAACGTAGCCTGGCTTTAGCTACAGAACCAGTGTAGTATAAAATCCTCTCTGTAAACTTGTGCCTGGGCTCCCCTGAAAATCTGATGCTTCACACAGATCTCAGTGTTTTGTGCAACTGAGAAAGGACCCTGGGGGGCTCTGCCTGGATGTTTTTGAACCCCTTCATGATTACTTGCACTTCTTTTTCCTGATGTACTTCTCCTTTACATTTATTAAGTGAAGGAGCTTGGGAGTAGCCTGTGAGGTCTTGAGTCCTTGCAATTATCCAACTCTGTTCAGTCGCTGCACCATCCTCCCTTCTCTCACTCTCTCCCACACATATGCACCCTTTGGTTCCTCTTGTGGTGAATTTGAAAAGAATAAACTGAGATACTCGGCTTTGTTCTGTCCCTCTTCCTCTTTGGAAATCACTGCCTGCCCAGTAACAACACAAATTCCACATTGTGTCCCCGGAAGCAGGCCTGCCAGCAAGTAGCACTGATCATGAAAGACTAAATCTGCCTAATATTCAGTCAGGATTAGGAGGTCCACTGGGTTCTCATTCTAAGCTAAACCCTCCAAGCCAGTCCTTATCAGTAACAAAGTGAAGTTTTAACCTACTTTGCCCTTCATGTTTTATTTTGAAACTTGTTCAGCACAGGCAAAGAAAAGGTGTGCTATCTTCTTTCCCACACCCCATCCCTGCAGATTATGCACACTCCCTGAGGGAGTGTGCATAATCTGCAGGGAGGGTTCACAGCTTTAACCCAATTCANTCAGGGAGTGTGCATAATCTGCAGGGAGGGTTCACAGCTTTAACCCAATTCACAAAGGATTCGTGACTTCAAAAAAGTTAAGACCACTATTCTATTGGAAGGAAAAATAAGGATTTATTCGAATATAGTCACTCTCTCATTGAACTTCATAATTTCCCCATTACTTGAGAGAATATATCTGAGTCATTTTATTGGAGGCTATCTACACTAACTTCTTTCCATTGGTAATCACCAGCTTTGATGACCACCTTTCAAAGACATTCAAAGGCCTAACAACTCTTACAGATACCTGGAAAATTACCATTTCCCACCAATTCAAGAAGCATAGCAATGTAGACTATACATAGCACATACATATGTAGATCAATAGACTTCAGGTCATATGACTTGGATTTGCACCCCAGCTTGAACACTTACAAACTAACCTTCCTGAAACTTAGTATTCTTATGCATAAAATGAGGACAATAAACACGGCTCTACAATAAAGTTGTTATGACAATATAATAAATGAGATAAAGTTTATGAAAATGCTTTCTAAGCCAAAAACTTTGCAAACATAAAGGGGAAAAATTCTATTGAAAATTTTTAATTAATTTATATCTCCTTGTAGAAAGGAAGAGTAGGAGAAAATATTTAGAACTGTAAGATTTCTGTACATATTGACATTAGATAGGGGTCAAGTAGGATCTCTCAGGAGTTTGGTGAGAATTAAATAAATAATACACTTAAAAGTGCCTGGAACATAGTAAATGTTCAATAAATGTTAACATCTATCAAGTACAGTAGAAGGCTTCAGAAAGCCTCTCTGTCTGAAAATATGTCACACTGCCTACAATTCTGTCAGGGAGCTTCAGATCCTTTGACTCAGCCTCCCTTTCTAAGACGAAAAGTGTTACTCAAACTTGAGGATGCACATAAATCATCTGGAAAACTTGTTGAAACACAGATTGCTACAACACCTCCCCAAATTCTGATTCATTCTTGCACTGGACCTGAGAACCTGCATTTCTCACAAACTCCCAGGGGCTGCTGCTGGTTCCAAGACAACACTTTGAGCAGCACTTCCTCAGACAGGAATACTTCACATCCCATCATTCACACCTTAGTATAAATGCGTTTTATAAGGTGGCTTTCCCTGTGAACTCTCACTAAAGATACTGAAAGTTTTGCTACATAAGAAAAGGGAGAGAGGGGACAAAACAGGCCACAGGAAAGTGGATGGCTCAGCACAGTAAGAAAACTGCATTTCAAAAGGCAGCTGAAGAAGACAGATTACCAAAGTGGGATCAGGTGAAAACATGCAAAATAAGGAGAAAAGATTAAAATGGGGAGGTGAGAGAATACTGCGGTGGACTGAATGTTTGTGCCACCACTTCCCAAAATTTATATGTTGAAGCTCAAACTCCCAGTGTGGCTGTGTTTGGAGATGGGGACACTAAGGAGGTAATTACAGCTAAATGAGGTCATAAGTGCGAAGCCCTGTGTCGACAGAATTAGTATCCTTATAAGAAGAGACATCAGAGAGCGTGCTCCTCCTACCCGTAACCCCAGGCGCACACACCAAGGAGAGGCCATGGGAGCACACAGAGAGATGTCCACATGCAACCCCCATTGAGGGCCCTCACCAACCCTGCTGGCATCCTGGTCTTGGCCTTCTAGTTTCCAGAACTATGGCAAATAAATACATTTCTGTTGTTAAGTCTGTGGTTTTTTGCTATGGCAGCTCTAGCAGACTGATACAACTACTAAAGACTTCTTTACCCCTGCTCGGTTGTTCCTTGGGTTGATAACAATTAAAAAGTTTTCTTCTTAAATACAACTTTCTCTTACTTTAAATTTTCCCTTGCTCTAATGTCAATGGAAATATAAAATAGTATGGCTTTTTCCAAACTTCTACACTTATTATTGTTGGTTTTTATCAATCCACTAAACAACATCTAACTAGAAAAGAAATCTATACACTATTGGGGGGAAAATTACTGAAAAGCCAAAGCAAATTAAATTTCTTACTTGTTCCTTTCCAAGTGAATAATATGCTCTTTTCCTTCAGCCTGAATAACATAAGATACCTAAATGCACAAAGAAGGAAAAAAGAACAATAAAACACCATCTTATAAATTACTTTTCAACAACAGGTATTTATAAGACACTGGAAATTCCATCCTTAATTAAAACAATTTGATATTGACTGAAATTGTTTTACAGAAAAACCTTATATCTGCTCTTAAATAATAAAAAATACTCTGACCATCCCTGCTTTCCTTTGGTAACTTATTGTGGAAAATCGCCTGCATGTTTATCTAAACCCTTCTTAAATTCGTTTAGAATTGAGTTATAACTTCAGGAATTATTTTTGTTAAGTGAATCCAAGTATTACCTACATACAGTATAAAGTAGTTCTTCCTTTTGTTTAAATAAATGTCTTAGTTTCAAGAGACTATCCCTAGTTCTAGTTATCTGAAAGTTGAAAAGAAATACATACGCTCTTACAATTTTATATCTTCACATGATTTACCACATTTCATCTATTCTAAAACAGATTTCCCCACCCTGCATGTGAACAACTCTGAAGTCAGGATCATCATACACAGGCACAGTAGTCTGACTGGTAGCACTGTTTCTTTCTTAATTAGTGGTACATTAAATGACAGCGGGCCTTACCATGAATGGCATCTCAGAGTCAATGAACTGAGATAAGGTAACCTGCACTTACACATCCTCAAGCTCATGGGATCCTCTTCTCTACCTCAAACAACTCTGAAACAACTTCTTCAGCAACTCAACAGTTCATTAGCCAGAAGTGTTTAATGTGATTGCTAGAACCAGGAGATTCAACTTTACCTTAACTCTTTAACAAAAGAGAAAATCATGGAAGAACTCAACAAATATTATCAGAACTGTCCTCTTATTTTCCCTACTGTGTCTGCACTGCAAGTTAACATCTTCCCAAGAAATGGCATGATTCCCTCTCCTGGAACACGTCAACATCTGACTTCCAGGCCTAGACCAAATTCCAGATCCTGGCATTCTACTTACATGCCCTGAGTGGGAACCTGAAAAGAACTTGTGATCTACCTAGATCTCCACTGAGGCATCAAAAATACCAAGCTCCTTCCATCATCTCAGTTTTGACCTGTTCCTTTCTATTCTTTCTGCTCTTGGCCAGTCATCTGACATAAAAACAACACTGTCATCTCTGAAAATAATTCTGAGAGTAAGAATTAAATCATGATACTGTATTCTTTCCCCAAATATCTGCTCATTCCCCTCCTTCTGGCCTCCACTCATGGGTTATCTTCTCTGTAAGGCCTCCCCAAGCTGTACCACTAAAAAAATTCAGCCCAGCCCATGCGGCTCAGTGGTTGAGCATTGCCCTATGAACCAGGAGGTCACAGTTTGATTCCCGGTGAGGACACATGTCCAGGTTGCAGACTTGATCCCCAGTAGGGGGCGTGCAGGAGGCAGCCGATCAATGACTCTCATCACTGATGTGTCTAGCTCTCTCCCTCTCCCTTCCTCTCTCTGAAATCAATAAAAACATATTTTTTAAAAATTCAAACCCTCTCACCCCACTCCTACCCCTATTTCTACACTTCTTATTCCCCTTCCTGCTTTTCACTTTCTCCAGAGCGCTTATTACCATTTCCAGTAATCCGTATTATTAAGTGCTTATTGTTTCCCCCACTAAAATGGAAGCTTCATACGGGCATGGATTTTCATCTGTTTTGTTCCCTGCCATACCTCCAATGCCTAAACAGTGCTTCCACTTCTCCAAATATTTACTGGGGTGCATGAACGACATTTATTATGATCACAAGTATCTACATGTGCAGTACTGATGAAGATACATTCAGAGACACAAGAAGAAAACATAGTCCCTATGCTAGAGAAGAAAAGGAGGAAAATAACGAAGCAAGAACAAAGTAATTCTATCCTAAGGCAAAATAAAATCAGATGTTAGAATGCCCAGCTCAAAACAAAAACAAGGAAAAATTGTAAACTGCTCCACTGCAAGGAGATCTTAGAATCAATTATTTCTTACTTATAGAGGAGAAAATGAAGTTTAATGACCTACCCAATTAGTGACAGTACCCAGGGGGAGGGCTGAAACAAAAAGCTCCTGAATCTCAACTCCAGGCTTCTTACTATGCCCAGTCCTCAAACAATGTGCAAGCTGCCTTATATTGATAAATTTATCAGCAATTCAATGGGAATAAGCTCTATCCTTCATACTCTCTTACTGTTCAATTATAATAAAGTTAAATTATAATTCTACAAAGTTGAAGAGTTTGCAAAATCAGCTGAAGTCCAAATATATTGTTTCTTAACTTTATAGTAAGACAAAATAGTTTAAAAAATAATTTTTGTGCATTGGTTACCCCATTAACAGCACAGTATGTTTCTTCTAATATGGAGATAAAACTTACTTTTGAGTAAACATTCCCAATATGAAACATATGCATGCAAAACACTACTATTCTCCAGTGTCCTTGAAAATACAGTATGAAATATTTTACCTATCACAAACTAAGAGAGGGGTTACTTATTAGTATTACAAGATCTCTATAACCATCAGCAGTCAGTTAAGGGTTAGGAATCTATGTAATTAGCTTCCTATCCTGGTCCTGGAATCTTATTTAACTATTTCATTCTGTTATATTTCAAGTTGACCATTTTGTCTTTTAAAAAAGATACCAAGGATCAATATGTCACTTTTACTAGAATAACATTCAATAAACATCAGTGCCATATGTATGGTTCTATACTAATTTCTGGCCAATATTGACTCACTGAATCAATCACTGCTGAAAATAATACCGTTGTCTTTTAAAAACAAAAACAAAAAAACACACCCTTAAATACATACATATTTCTCAAGAGAGAACTTACCTGTTTTGAATAGGGCCTACGGGCTTCTCTTCGTTCTCTAGTTAATCTCCAAGGAGTTATAATTTCATAAGAAGAGAGATGTGAGGTCTGTTGAAAGCCTACAAAAAAGGGAGCAACAAAAATTATATAACAAGTGAACCTGAAAAACTACATGGTACCAAAATATAATAGAATTCAAAAGCTGAATGTTCAAATCAAAAAACTCATTTGCTATTTCCATATTAAAATATATATATGGTTGTACATGAATATAGCAATAGTGTAAAGGGGAAAAATGAATTTCCTAAAACAGTATGTCAGCCTTTGTCCAAACAGTATATGTATAGCAATCATTTTCAAACAAGTTTTAAATATAAACGCTAACCCTTTTTCTTAAAAGAAATCTTAAGATATAAACACACACACACAAGAACTGCTTTGGTGGGGAAATGGATGTGCTAGAGATATCTGGGGCCTAGCAGCATTCACTCACCTCCCATTTCCCACTGTCATCCAACATGAGTGACATCCCCTGAGATGGTATTAGGGTAATAATGAAATGGCCAAGGGCAATAAGAGGGAAAGGTTCCTTTAATGCCTCGTGGGTTAAGTCTAATAAATCAACGATGTAGCAATTACAGCAAAAGAAATTAACGCCATTTAATCTATCCTTAAAAAGATAAACTTTAGATAAAATTTATTAACAATGAAGGAAAAACAATCATGAGGACTTACTCTCAATTTCAATCCTACTCAGTTTACCACAGAGAAATCATCTCTAAGTGGGGCTTGGGTTCCAAAGTCATCACTTGAGCAAAAATTGAGTATAATCAAAATTAGCCACACAAATCCCTTAGGAAGATACCCCTCGTTGGAGTCTGAGACACAGTCTTTCAATACGTCCAACACAACCTCTTCTTCTAGCATCATTGCGATGATATGTCAATTTTTTCAGTAAACCTGATGAAGTAGATGGTCACCAGCTAAGGGTCATGGATAAAAACTCTATATATCTCTGTATTTTAAAGCCACATTCAGTAAAAGGAGGCTTAAGTCTGATATACACAACAGAAAGACTGAAGGTAAAAAAAGTCACATCTTCCACTCAGATCAACTTAGGAAATAAATTCATTAAGTGGAATTTCTTCAGCAAATAAATGCTATTAAAAGAAAGAAGAAAGGATTTTCATAAACCAAAAAAGCCTTATGAATGTATGGACCTGTTTGAATCCTAATTCAAATAAATCAACGGGGGGGGGGGCAAATTCTGAGACAATCAGGGAAATTTTAACACTGCACAGATATTGAATGATCTTGAAGAAATACTGCTAATTTTTTAAGTGTAATAACCATATTGTGGGTAAGGTTTTCTTTTAAAAGTCCTTATGTCTTAGAGATTTATTCTGAATATTCAAGGGCAAAATGATACGATGTCTAGGATTTGCATCAAAATAATCCAGTGTGTGTTTGAGGGAGAAGATACATATGAAATTATATTAAAACTGGGTAATGGGTACACAGGAGTTCATTACTCTTTTCTCTACTATTGTGTATGTTTCATATTTTCTATAGTAAAATCATTTTCAGTAGTTACCTATAGAGAGTGGGATGAGAGACTTTCACTTTTCACTTTATAAAATTTACTTCATATTATAATGTTTATGAAATACTATGTCACACGTTACATATATGAGACTATAAAGTGTGTCATAAAACATGTAAATATCATAAGTAAATGTACGAAACTTTTTTAAAGTAGTTACCATGATGGAATAGAACCAGAAAGTAATGAGATAAGGACTTGGACTTTATTTCCTGCACTCCAATATGTCTGTAGTGTTTGAATTTGTTTTTATAATGAGGATGTATTTCTAACCCCTGTATTACCTTTAATATTAAAATTGGAAAATACGACTGCTTATCAATAAAAAGCATAAACTATTTAAAGTACTTATACCTAGCATCTTTCAACAGCTCCTTTTTTTCCATCAGCTTTATTAACCTCACATCTAGACTGCTATGATACCTTCTTCCCTGGTCTCCCTTTTCCCACACTCTCCTCCTTTGGGTCCAATCTACATGTTCATTCACTCATTAATTGCCTTATGCCCCTAAGATTTCTGAAAATACAGATTAAAATGAAATATTTACATCTAACTTTCCCCAAAATAACACTGTACATATATAAAAATGTCTACCACCTTGTCTAGTTTGGGATTTTAAAAGATACAGTGTAAACAGGAAAACATAAATTGTATCATATGCAACACGATCATGTCATAATAACAGTTTTCAAACTCTTTACCCATCATTCCCTTATGTCTTTATAATACAGCATATTATGCTAATTAAATGTGGCCGCAAGTCATTACATAAAAACACCAGAAACAGGCTAAAAGAAAATGTTCACAAAAGCAACCATGGGTTAACCCAAGGCACATTTATGACATACTATGATAAAATATCTGAATGTTTGGAATTGTCAATTGAGAACCACGTCAAAAGAAATCCGTGGTCTTAATAGATGCAGACTTCAAATCAGTAGGTAGAAATATCCTTAATTATAAATTAACTAAGGAACAGGACTATTTCTTCCCCTAGAAGAGACCTTTCAATGACCTTCAGTTTCTCAAATTCCTAAAAACACAAATGTCACTATTATCTTTAATAATTTCATTCTGGATCATGGTAATCTGTCCAACTATTAGGTCAGTCACTCTGGAAGTGGTGACAGGAATAAAAGGCTTTCTGTGGGTAATAGATTAGAAGCTTTGTGTGATAAAAAGTAAATCATCTTGTACATTTGCAACTTCCTGTGACACTATAATTATTTTTTAAAGGTTTTTCAAGTAAATCATTACAGACAAGGATATATATGTTAACAGGATTGGACAGCTATTACACTAGAAGCTGAACAATATGCAACTAAACTGAAATTTTTCTATCACAACTCAGAAGAAAATACCACAGAGAAAATGAAAGTCTCAGAAAAAAGAACTACAAATGAGCAGGCAAATATTTAAAGAGTTCTCCCTTTGTAACAGGTTAAATGACTGTAAATCACACAACTAGTTTCAGGAAGTGAAACTATTTACTGAAATTAGCTCTTTTAAAAAAAATTTTTTTAATGTTTTTATTGGTTTTAGAGAGAGCAAGGGAGAGGGAGAGAGAAACATCGATCAGCTGCCTCCTGCACACCCCTCAGTGGGGATGGAGCTCGAAACCTGGGCATGTGCCCTGCAAGGGAATCAAACCAGCAGCCTCTCGGTGCATGCGACGCTGGGCCACCCGGGCACACCGGCCAGGGCTGAAGCCAGCTCTTTTATACAGATTGCTAGCAAAGAAGAAATGTCCAACACAGGAATAAAAGATGGAGGGCAGGGCTGTACACAATTAATTATTAATTTTAAAAGGCTTTCAAAATTACAGCACCCAAGACTCACTGTCCAGAAGCCCTGCGAGGAGCCTCCGGAGATGGGAGGGGAGGTCGCGGAGCAGGAGAGCGGTCACCACAAGGGCGCACTGGACCGCACGGCCCGCAGCAGGAGCGCGCGAGGCGGGCCGCCGGAGGCCCAGCCCCGCGCAGCCTGTGGCTTTGGGAGACAGAAAGAAGGGAGCCGAGCGGACGGAGGAGGTTCCCGAGGGAAACAATCCAGGTCCTCCTCCAGGATCATTTGAGAGAGAAATGCGGAATGAATGATGGAATATGCTGGACATTTTAAAGGTGACATGAAAAAGGTTCTTCGTGCAAAGAGAAAAAGATTTGTAATGGATCCTAATGCTTCCTTTCAAACCACTGACCAGAAAATTCGGGAATGCTGCGGCGGGGGCGGCAGCGGGGGACGGACGGATGGACCGAAGGACGGACGGATGGACGGACTGACGGGACGGCAAGAGCAACGGCAGAAGTTTTATCGCGAATATTCTCAGCAGTTTCTGACTTTGTTTCGCGAGTTGGGTAGATGTGCAGAAAACCAAGGAAGAAGAAAAACGACTTTGTTTCACGAGCAGTGAAAGCTTTGTCAACAAGCTAGAACTGGTCAGAGCCAGAGACTGAAAAAAATTAAAACTGTATATGACCAGTTTTTAAAGAATGTGGAGTACTTAGAAGATCATGGACATCCTGTTAACAGTGAAGCAAAAGAATATAGACAAGAAACAGCCAAATTGCAAAACAAGATCGTGGTGGATACTCAACAACAAGTGCTGGCAAATATTCAAAAGTCTCTTCACTCCTGAAGAAAGAACTTGAACCTAAATTGTATGACGCAAGAATAACATTAGCTACATTACAGTGGTTTAAATCAGGACATCTAGTTGAAATCTGTACATCTTGTTTACCATCAGCTTGTCTGTTAAATGCAGGAATCCGTTTCTGTTAACCACCAAATGAATCCTAAACAGTTATGTGGGTAGCAGCAATTCCATAGTTACATACGTATCAAGCTTTCAACCCTTTGGTGGCAATGGAGACTCTCTCCCTAATACAGTGAATTAACCTTTAGCAACAGTCGACTGAATTTTAGGGTTTGGCCCCAGCAATTCTGTATCAATCCCAAAAGGTAGAAAGCACCTTTGGAATGTTGTATTGTTCTTCCTTAAGGGAAAAAAATTAAGAATACAAAATATGCTTTAAAAAAATTATAACACCCAAAAATAACTTCTGTATGTAACAGCTATTATTATGATATCAACTTCTTGGTTTTAAAATCCAAGGATCCACTTTCTCAGTGCCATAAGGAGTTCCAAAACATAAGAAATGTACAGACTTGGGTTATATCATTCAAAAATAATATACACTAGTTATATGAAAATCCTCCTTCTTATATTTTTCCAAAATTTCTTATTTCTAGTTCTGGTCTCTTTATTTTTTTCCCCCCGTTCACACCCTGCATAGATTTCTCAATTCCCTTTTTATTTTTTAAACTCCAAATAGCAGCACCTTCTCATGGGAACAAAAATAACGTTTCACATGTTACTATAAAGGAAGTGCACTAAAATTATTTGTATAAAGTTTCAACCTCAACACTATTAACATTTGGGGCCAGAAAATTATTTGGGTAGGTGAGAGGCCTTTCCTGTGCAATGTAGGATGTTAAGTAGCACTCCTGACCTCTAC